CTCACGTAAAAAGGATTCAGGGCACCTTAAATATTGAATATAAAGCAAGCAGTTCTCTAACAATCCCATCTCGGAAGCTTTGAGGACAGTTTATTGCAATGAAATCTATTACGGAGCAGTATTTTTCTGCAGATCTGCTGGTATAAGTCATTCCAGGGCATAAAAGTTCACAAGCAAGTTTAGAGATTTACTCTTTATATAGCAAATATGAATTCACAGGAGAACCCAAACACAGCATAAAAACATAATTTTAGGTGTTGAATTGCCATGCAGGTGATTGGATGCTAGGGTGTTGCTACAGTGACCAGACTATTAAAATGTCCAGATAAGGCTCAGGTCTTGACATCAGTGCATGTCTATGTCTGTTTTTACGCTGTTTAATTGTTTATTAGTGTAATTAAAAATTTAATTATAGTGCTTTGGGGTTTGGTGAATTAATCAGTCTTGTGCTGATATACTGTTGAAGTCAGAATTATTAGCCCCCCTTTGAATTTTCTTTTTCTTTTTTAAGTATTTCCCAAATGATGTTTAACAGGGTAAGGAAATTTTCACAGTATGTCTGATAATATTTTTTCTTCTGGAGAAAGTCTTATTTGGTTTATTTCGGCTAAAATAAAAGCAGTTTTTAATTTTCTAAACACCATTTTAAGGGCAAAATTATTACCCCATTTAAGCTATATATTTTTCTGATCGTCTACAGAACAAACCATCGTTATACAATAACTTTACTAATTACCCTAACCTGCCTAGTTAACCTAATTACCATAGTTAAGCCTTTAAATGTCACTTTAAGCTGTATAGAAGTGTCTTGAAAAATATCTAGTTAAATATTATTTACTGTCATCATGGCAAAAATAAAATAAATCAGTTATTAGAAATGAGTTATTAAAACTATTATGAATAGAAATGTGACAAAAAAATCTTCTCTCCGTTAAACAGAAAATGGGGGAAAAATAAACAGGGAGGCTAACAATTCAAGGGGGCTAATAAACCAGACTTCAACTGTATATATAAACTGGTGTATTGTTACTATTATAAAAAATTAAGTAAATAATGTAAATAATGTTAAATTCAATAATCTTATTGGTTCAAGTATTACAAAAACTATGTGTTCCTCCATGCAGAATTATCCTTATTTATACAGTTCCTTCCATAGTATGCATAAAGTGTTACTAAATCTAAAAGATATATGATTAATTTTGTTATTTATTGATGACAGGAAATATTTGATATATAATATTTATATATAATAATTACATTAAAGATATACATTTGAAGTCAGAATTATTAGCCCTCCTTTGATTTTTTTTCTTTTTTAAGTATTTCCCAAATGATGTTTAACAGAGCAAGGGAATTTTCACAGTATGTCTGATAATATTTTTCTCTTTTGGAGAAAGTCTTTTTTGGTTTATTTCGGCTAGAATAAAAGCAGCTATCAAATTTTTAAACACCATTTGAAGGATAAAATTATTAACCCCTTTAAGCAAATTTTTGTTTCGATAGTCTACAGAACAAACCATCATTATACAATAACTTGCCTAATTACCCTAACCTGACTAGTTAACCTAATTTATCTAGTTAAGCCTTTAAATGTCACTTTAAGCTGTATAGAAGTGTCTTGAAAAATATCTAGTCAAATATTATTTACTGTCATCATGGCAAAGATAAAATAAATCAGTTATTAGAGATGAGTTATTAAAACTATTATGTTTAGAAATGTGTTTTTTCTCTCCGTTAAACAGAAATTGGGGAAAAAATAAACAGAGCGTCTAATAATTCAGGGGGGCTGAATTATTTCCGTGCTCTGTTAAACATCATTAAACATCATTTGGGAAATACTTAAAAAAGAAAAAAAAATCAAAGGAGGGCTAATAATTCTGACTTCAACTGTATATAATTCCCAGTGGTGGAAGTATCGAATTACAAATACTCACATTACTGTAATTAAGTACATTTTTGGGGTATTTGCACTTTCATGAGTACAATTTTAAGTCTGTAATTTTACTTGTACTTAAGTACAAATGAATCAGAGCAATCTACTTTGTTACTTTTAAAATCACAATTTGTTACAGAGTACTGTAAATAAATTAATATTTCAAACATGCACTGACCAGCATTTCATAGCCAATAAAAAAAGCTCATCTCAACAGACCAATGAAAAGCCTGCTACATTATTTGAACCGAAAAACAAGTTCAGGCTACTGCAGATTTAGCTGACCGTCATCATACAGTGACAAAGTTATCAACTGACATATGGAGATTCAAGACAGAAGAAATGAGGAAGAAATAGCAGAGGATGAATGCCCATGGCCACACCTGGAGGAGCTGTTCACCTACAGCAGGGGTGTCAAACTCAATTCATGGAGGGCCGAAGCCCTGCACAGTTTAGTTCCAACCCTGCTCCAACACACTTATCTGTAGGTTTCAAACAAGCCTGAAGGACTCAATTACTTTGTTCAGGTGTGTTTAATTAGGGTTGGAGCTAAACTGTGCAGAGCTGCGGCCCTTTTGGAACTGAGTTTGACACCTGTGACCTGCAGGTACATAGGGAAGAAAGTGGACAACTGTGCTGATGCAGTGTGAATAGCTATGTTATCATCTAAAAATGCTAATTATGTAAATTATGCCCTAAACTGGAACATCGCATAAAAGACTATGCAAATAAAGCAGCGTTTTATTAGTGAATTATTAATTCCTAGGATTTCCTGTACTTTCATGTAATATTTCCTAATTATGTATGTATAATTAGGAAATATATACGGTGTGGTAGTGGGTAGCACGTTCGCCTCACAGGAAGAAGGTCGCTGGTTGGAGCCTCGGCTGGGTCAGTTGGAGTTTCTGTGTGGAGTTTGCATGATCTCGCCGTGTTGGCGTGGGTTTCCTCCACAAGTCCAAAGACATGTGGTATAGGTGAATTGGGTAGGCTAAATTGTCTGAAGTGTGTGTGTATGAATATTTCCCAGTGAAGGGCATCCGTTGCGTAAAACATATGCTGGATAAGTTGGCGGCCTCAGATCGATAAAGGGACTAAGCCGAAAAGAAAATGAACGTATATATATATATATATATATATATATATATATATATATATATATATATATATATATATATATCAGTAGCGCGCCTACTGAAGGGCGGGACGGAGGGTGTGTCGCATCGCGGGGGCGCTTTTGATCATTTTGGAAGGGCACTTTCTATCCAAGACTAAAAAGGGCATGTGCACTAAACAGGTTGAGCCCTATGTGTGCACGTGCCAGCTAGTTGGGGAATACGACTAATAACAGTCATGGGGACTGCAGAAACACAGCACACTGTTCAGATTGATGCAGACATTGACTTGTACCGCAAAGAGACCTCCATCTCACTCATGGCTTGTCCTCTCAAGTGGTGGAAAGACAATGCACAACGTTACCCACTGCTGTCAACCTGGGCCAAGTCATATCTCTGTCCCAGAAACCTCAGTCCCAAATGAGAGGTTTTTTTTCTGTTGAAGGGGACATTTTAAATGCCCAGAGATACCAGCTTTTACCAGATTATATTTATATGATAATTTTCCTTAAAACCCATCTCTATCTAAGTGAGTTAGTGATTAAATGTTGAATGTGATGAGTTTTCAACAATACTAAATTGAAACATTATTTTTTTACATGGTTTAATACATTTTTGTTATTAAAATTGAAAAATTGAAGTTCCTGTTTCAAAGCTTACAGATAGATGGCTAATTTGTATGTCATTGACACTTTTGGCACTTTTTTGGGGTATTTTTATTAGTTTTGTTTTTCCTGTAAATGATTCAATAAATGCCATACCGTGCCATTCATACCGAGGTATTACCGTACCGTGAAATTCTGATACCGTTACATCCCTAATAAATATATATATATATATATATATATATATATATATATATATATATATATATATATATATTTAAGTGAATAAAAACAAATAACAAATATAATAAATATCAACAAAACAAAAATAATAACGTAATAACGGACTCAAAATATTAAATGTTAATATTAATAACAAAAACTCACATTTTATATAAATAATACTACACCAACACTCCTGTCTGTTTATTTACTCTTTCTTAAAGTTTGGTTTTGTGTTATTCAGATTGGTTGATTTACTTCTTAGCTTTCTCCTGACAGCTTTAATGGTGTGTTTTCAGAGTGAGCTTTCTGTTACCTGTTACTGCGTCCGGTCAGGCTCGATCTTGGTCTCTCCGTTCTGCTTCTCGTTGATGGATTTTTGTGAGAGACGCGAAGACATGGTGGCGGCTTGAACCACAGCCTTGAAGCTGCGTTTGCGCTTCTGCACGTTCTGCTCCGGGTGGAAGATGATGACGTACACTTTGGGAATGTAGAGCATCCCGAGAGACACGGAGGCACTCAGACTCATGGACACGGTCAGCGTCGTCGTCTGGATGAACATCTGCAGCAAAAACAGACAAGAGATTAACTTAAACAAAAATAAAGATAATTTTATATACAATCGAATAAAAAGTATATTTCTTTACACAATTTCTGCTACATAAAAACATATGCCGGAATAGTTGGCGATTCACTAAGCTGTGGCGACCCCTAGTAAATAAGAGACTAAGCTGAAGGAAAATGAATTAAATAATAATAATAATAATGATAGTGATAATAATAATAATAATATCACCAAAAATTGTAATAATAATAAAATATTAATAATAATAATAATGATAATGATAATAATAATAATAAGAGTAATAATAATAAAATAATAATTATTATTATTACAATAATTGTTGATATTATTATTATTACCAACTGAAAATGTCAACTGACCCAGCCGAGGCTCGAACCAGTGACCTTTCTGCTGTTAGGCGACAGCACTACCTACTGCACCAATGAGTCGCCCATTATTATTATCACAATAATTGTTGATTTTTATTATTATTGTTATTATTATTATTATTATTATTACAATAATTCTTGATAATATTATTATTATCATTACTATCACTATTATTATTATTATTATTATTACAATAATTTTTGATATTATTATTATTATTATTATTATTATTATTACAATAATTCTTGATATTATTATTATTATTATTATTATTATAATTATTATTACTATCAATATTATTATTATTATTATTATTATTACTATCACTATTATTATTATTATCATTATTATTATTACTACTACTATTATTATTTAATGCTATTTAACTGAATAATGCTTAAGTATTAAACAGCATTACTTACAAACCAAGAATTTACAACGAAGACATAAGCACATGGTATATTTACAATAGACACTGTATATTGATGCTAACCATATTGATTTTACATCTCTTTTGTCTTAAAAAAACGAACAAAACAAACATCAAACATAATGCTGAAAATGAAAGATCACTTAAATCCTATTGAATGAACGACCAAATCCTCCTTTGACCAGGCCATGGCAATGCATTAAAATAAACATTCACAATATTCCCCATCAGCTCCTGCCAATTCAACTAGAACAGCACCAGCCCACCAGGAAACACCATATATGTATACAGTATTAGCGTGGCGAATTAAATGGTACGTCGGTGGGAAGCTACCTGTCGTTTCATCTGTTTTCAGCAATAACTAATGCTCTAATTCCTAAATCCCGCTGACGAGGCTTCTGGCTTTTTATTAAGATGGCTCGACATTGTCTTTCAGGCTTGCGTTATCAACCTCCTCCCACAGTGGAACCTCGGCGGTGGGCGGACGAGTCTTTGTCTCCATGTCATGGTGTGTCTTTGGGAGATAAAGGGGAGAAATGAAATGTTGTGTTTTTTTCCCCCCTCATCTCATCCCTTTCCACGTCTGCCGTATCAAAGGCCTCTTCAAAAGCAAAACTGTGAGCAATGCAACTTGGACTTGTTATCGTGAGCCTGGCAGGTTGTTGCTTTACTTCAATGCTTTTGGTATTGAAATGACTTCATTTCAGTGCATTTTCTACTTAAGGACTTAAACGGGCGACTAAGCTGCGCTCTTTTGTTGACGGATTGGCGAAGAACTGAGAGAAAACAACAGTGTGGTGTAAAAACTGGAAGTTGTTGCTCTGAGAGATGCTGTTGCGCTTATATATATTGTGTTTTCAAGAGGTCTGAAGATTGCTTTTTTTTCCTCCTCTGTAAATGCAGGAGAAAAGCACTCATAGCTTACAATTTTTCACTGTCACCGAGCCTAAGGCTGTCATTACACTTCTTTAAAAGAAAAAAAAAAACTAGTAACACCTTACACGTCTAGCAAAAAACACACACACGAAAAATTATGGAAACTGTTCGACCACAAAAATAAAATAAAAAAAAGGTAATTTTGACTTTTTATCTCACAATTCTCATCATAATTATGAGTTTACGAGTTTACATCTTGCAATTTAGTTTATTTTGTTTGCTATGGAGTAAAAAGATAAATAATAAAGCAAATAATGATATTAATAATAGTTATAATCATAAATAATATTAATAATAATAAAAACTTTACATCTTACATTTGTGACTTTTTCCTCATTATTCATGTTCATTCATTAATACATGAGGGCGAGAGAGCCATGTCAAGATGTCGGGGGTGAGGTGTCTGTATAACACAGCTAAGTAACTGTGCTATGCACCTGGTTTCGGGCAGCCGATTGGATACTATACCAAAGGCATTTTGGGGGTGTTATAGACTGTACCAAAAACCTGAGGACGTTAGGGTTGTGGGGGGTAGAACTACAGGAGTTTTTCGAGAGAAATAACAAAACGGGAAGGTGGCGGGAGATGGGACTGAAATACGGGAGACTAACGGGAAAAAGGGAGTGTTGGCAGGTATGTTTTGAACTGTGGGGGAAACCGGAACACCCGGGGGAAACCCCTAAAAAAATCCACATAGAAACGCCAACTGACCCAGCTGAGGCTCGAACCAGCAAGCTTCTTGCTGTGAGGCGATTGTGATACTCACTGCACCACTGTGCAGCCTAATAGTATTTATAATAATAAAAAACTTGACTTTTTTTCATCATCATTCATGTTGTAAACTCAGAATTGTGACATTTTTTTTCCTCCACAACATACAAAGAAAATGTTCATTGAGATTTCTCTCACAATTTCGACATTATTTCAGATTATTGCAAGTTGTAGAGTCATAATTGTGAGTTTACATCTTGCAAAAAAAAATTTTTTGCCATGGAACAAAAAGAAAAATAATAAATAATATTAATAATAGTTATAATAATAAATCATATTAATGGTATTTATTAATTAATAGGTGGCTCAGTGGTAGCACGATCACCTCACAACAAAAAGGTCACTGCTTTGAGCCTCGGCTGGGTCAGTTGGCATTTCCGTGTGGAGTTTGCATGTTCTTGACTAAATTATCCACAGTGTATGAGTGTGAATGAGAGTGTATAAGTGTTTCCTAGTGATGGGTTGCAGCTGTAAGTGCATACGCTGTGTAAAACATTTGCTGGAAAAGTTGGCGGTTCATTCCACTGTGGTGCCCCATATTTCACATTATTCCATTATTGCAAGTCATGATTGTGAGTTTAAATCCTGCAATTCAGTTTTTTGGCCATGGAATAAAAATATAAATAGTTATTTTTCTAACAACAGGTGTACATCTCACAGTTTGTAGTTTTTTCAGTTTTATTAGTTGTAAATATAATTAACGCTGGGGGCGATGCGGTGGCACAGTAGGTAGTGCTGTAGCCTCACAGCAAGAAGGTCACTGGTTTGAGCCTCGGCTGGGTCAGTTGGCGTTTCTGTGAGGAGTTTGCATGTTCTCCTCGCGTTCGCATGGGTTTCTTCCGGGTGCTCCGGTTTACCCCACAGTCCAAAGACATGCGGTACAGGTGAATTGGGTAGGCTAAATTGTCTGTAGTGTATGAGTATGAATGAGTGTGTGGATGTTTCCCAGTGATTGGTTGCGGCTGGAAGGGCATCTGTTGCATAAAAACATATGCTGGAATAAGTTGGTGGTTCATTCCACTGTGGCGACCCCAGATTAATAAAAGGACTAAGCCGAAAAGAAAATGAATGATAAATAATTAACGCTTAATCTAACAATTATTGCAAGTTTGTAAAATCATAATTGTAAGTTTATGTCTCACAATTCACCTTTTCAAGTTAATTGAGACTTCTTCTATAATTCTGGCTTTTTTCTCACAAGTTTTACATCTTACAATTAGTAATTTCAGTTTTCAAATCATACACTTGAAACATTTTCCCTCAGAATTCAGAGGTTACATCTTGCAATTGGACTTTTTGAAGAATTTTGACATTTTTCTCTGAATTCTGAGTTTATAGTGGACTTTTATCAGGTTTGTTATTGTTAAAGTGTTAGTTTTCAGGATTTTTTAAATATAATTATTCACATAAAAAGTTAATTAATTTTCCTTCGGCTTAGTCCATTATTTATCAGGGATCGCCACAGCGGAATGAACTGCCAACTATTCTGGCATATGTTTTACGCAGCAGATGCCCTTTCAGCTGTAACCTAGTAATGGGAAACACCCATACACTCTCGCAATCACACACACCCATACACTAAGCCAATTTTTCTTTACCCAATTCGCAAAAATCTATGAACTATAGGGTATCAAATACGACAAGGCATTTTTATAATTTGTTGTAAAAAATAATAATAAATAAATAAAATAAAATTAAATCACTGGTGTTTATTTGAGATAAAAAGACACTGGTTTTACATTGAATATTCAGTCAGTGCAAGTTTCTTTCAGTTGAAACAGCTCAGACTTTGTCCGGATGTAGCCTGAAAGGGACAGTGCACCCAAAAATGTTAATTCTGGCATCATTTACTCGTCCTTCTATTTCTTTTTTTTCTTTTTTTTTTTTACAGTTTGGAACTACTTGAGGATGGGTAAATATAAAACACAAATTTTGGGTGAACTATTCTTTTAAGTCCTGTCTTTAAAATTGGAGTAGATGTATCAAATATTTTGGGTGAAAAATTGATTATTATTGTTCACAGTTTAGAGATTAATTAAATTCAGTTAAATCATGAGATCAGTAATAACTAATGCTAAGAATTCTTGAAATAAAACAATGAATTAATTATTTATCTAATAACATTTTTAAAAATATCTTCTTTTGTGTTCAACAGTTTGCAACCACTAGAGCAGGGGTGTCAAACTAAATTCCTGGAGGGCCGAAGCCCTGCACAGTTTAGTTCCAACCCTCCTCCAACACACTTACCTGTAGGTTTCAAACAAGCCTGAAGGACTTAATTAGTTTGATCAGGTGTGTTTAATTAGGGCTGGAGCTAAACTGTGCAGAGCTGCGGCCCTTTTGGAACTGAGTTTGACACCTGTGCACTAGAGGGTGAGTAAAAAGTAAATGAACCATTTCAATATGGAAATATCATTAGTCCATGAACAGTTCTTGCCTGTCGTCAAACTATTTTAGAACTGTAACAATTGGCAATTCAGTCATAATAAATGTTATGACAGCAGGCATAAAAAATGTATCAATATGTGAACCCTTTTGGATTTTCAGAAGCTGTGGAAATGAAAAATATAAAACAGATAATACATAAGGACTGTTGGTATTGTTTACATCACTCAAAATGGTCTATTTGGGGTGAACTAAGTAGTAGATGAATAAAAATGCAAGATTTAAATATTTTGGGTGGACAATTTTCCTATTAATCGATCACATTGCACGTCTCACCTTCTCAGTGGACTGTGCTGTGCCAAAGAAAATGGGCACGAAGGCCAGCCAGATGATGCAGGTGGTGTACATGGTGAAGCCGATGGGTTTGGCTTCATTGAAGGTCTCGGGCACGCCTCGACTCTTGACCGCGTACACGGTGCAAGTGACCATCAGCACGATACTGTAACTCAGACAGCAGATGAGCGACAAATCTGACATGTCGCACTTCAGGATGCCCCGCGCCAGCTCTGGATTGGGCGGCCGCAGCTCCTCGTAGTCCACGGTGGTGTGCGGCGGCATCACTCCAAACCAGACGAAAACTCCCACAACCTGCGGAGAGAAGAAAAAAGCTTATCATTAACGGCCAGACCGAGGCAGCCAGAAGGGCAGACTCATTTGTCAAGAGCCGCTGCGAGATTGATGCAGAGTAAAGTGTAAAAAAAAGAGGCTGTTTTAGCCGCTCTTCAGCAGACACGACTTCACACAAGATTACTGGGTAAAATAGGCCACCTATCAGCCTGATTGCTCTTAATGATGGGTTTTAAAGTGCTTTTTTTTACAGACACAAAAGAAACGATAAGATCCGCTTGTGGCTTTGTAATAACGTGACTGGATTTCTGAAGTGAATGGCGGGATGTGACACAAATGTAGCATTCAGAACATTCAGTGTTTTAATTCTGAATTGAAAATAAATACAATTACAGTTTTGTGTATGAGTGTTTATGGATGATTCACAGTACTGGATTGCAACTAGAAGGTCATCCCCTGTGTGAAACATAAGCTGGATACGTTGGAGGTTCATTCCGCTGTGGCCTGATGAATAAAGGGACTAAACTGAAGGAAATAATTGAATGAATGAATGAAATATAAGCCAGGACATAAGCTGTGAAAGCTCCGCCCTTTTTTAAAAAGGGGTGGGGACCAACAGCTCATTTGCATTTAAAGAGACACACAAAAAAATGTATTTTGTTTCCAGCTAAAAAGCCACAAAAGAAACCAACCCAGGCTCATCGTGGAAACGTAGCCCAGCGGATGTTTCTGGAGGCCGTAAAATACATCCCGGGAGGTACGTATTTGTGCAGTTTTTGTTTTCGCGAATCCGCGAGAGGCTGCTGTGTGCGCTTTTTTGAGACTCGAACGCCTCTCGGGAGCACACGCTGTCGAGCGACCGTCTGTCTCAAGCAATGATTTACAAAAGCCATCCAGAAATTAAAAAAAAGCAAAAGCCCGCGTTTGACTGCGTTTTTGGGTTTTGCCGCATTCTCGCCCCGTTGGGAACTCGTTCGCTTTTTTTTGGATTCTGTTTTTTTGGAACCGCTCTTCCCCGGACTCGAACCTAGTAGTAGTTGCCACGGCCGGCATTTCCTCCTCCTCCGGGCCTCCGCTCCGCCAACATAACACTGCAAGCTAAGCGGACAAACTGGTTGCGCCGGGAAAGCCCTCCACATGGAGGTGAGCCGTCACAGCCAGCGAGCACACACAAATGCGGCCATAAGTACCTCCGGCCACGTAAATCGCGGTCTCCAGAAACATCCGCGGGGGTACGTTTTCGGAATGAGCCTGGGTTGAAAGAAACAATAAGATCAGCTCATCGCTTTGTAATAAAGTGACCGTTTTCTCGATTAAAAAAAAAAAAGGAATATGAGTGCAATGTAGCATAAGGAATATTCAGTGTGTTTAATTCTGATTACAAAGTTGATAGTATTTGAACATGATAAATTGTCAAAAAAAAAGTTTTTTGTTCAGATTTTTCGTTTTTCTTTTTTAAATATCAGAAAATAAGTCGTGAAAGCTCCGCCCTTTTTTGAAAAGAGGTGGGGACCAACAGCTCATTTGCATTTAAAGCGACACACAAAACAGCTCATCGCTTTGTAATAACGTGACAGTTTCAGAAAAGAAAAAGTGGGATATGACTGAAATGTGGCATTCAGAATATTCAGTGATTTAATTCTGAACTGAAAATGGATCCAATAAGAGACTTGTGTATTTAAACACGATAAATTGCCAGAAAAAAATACTTTTTTTTGTTCAGATTACGCTTTTTACTTTTTTTAATATAAGCCAGGACATAAGCTGTGAAAGCTCTGCCCTCTTTTAAAAAAACAGCTCATTTACATTTAAAGAGACACACAAAAACTGTATTTTGCTTACAGCTAAAAAGACCTAAAAGAAATGATGAAAGATCAGCTCATCGCTTTGTAATAACATAACTGAGTTTCTGAGCTAAAAAAGTGGGATATGACTGAAATGTAGCATTTGAAATATTCAGTGTGTTTAATTCTGAACTAAAAGTGGATACAATCAGAGTTTTGTGTATTTGAACACGATAAATTGTCAGAAAAAATGCTTTTTTTATTTTTTAATTATAAGCCATGACATAAACTGTGAAAGCTCCGCCCTCTTTTGGAAAGGGATGGGGAGCAACAGCTTATTTGCATTTAAAGAGACACACAGAAAACAGTATTTTGCTTCCACACAAATAGCATCTTTTAATACATAGTAAATTCTTTATTATACACAAAAAAACTCTAAATTATAATATTAAATTTGAAAGAATGTCATAAGTAGTTTACCAATTAAAAACACGTTTTAATCAGACACATAACTTTGTTACTTAAAAAAAATGACAATAGTCTTTTATTTATTTATTATTATTATTTTTTGTCTGTCGCCATTGCAGATAGTTAGAAAAAACTCCTTTAAGCATGGAAAAGACACCTTATATCGTTTGTTGCGGTACCTTCGAGTGTGTAGTTTGGACACGGTGTTGGTGTTAGAAGGCCAGAGGGTTTTTATATATACATTTTCACCACATATTAAAAACACGATAGTTTTAATAACTTTTTTCTAATAACCAAATTCTCTTGTGTTTATCATGATGACAGAACATATTTTACTACTTATTTAGCAAGATAGTATTCAGCTTAAAGTGGCATTTAAAGGCTTGACTAGTTTAATTAGGTAAATAACATAAAATGGAAAAAAATAAGGACACTTCTGAGGACAGCTACAGGAGACATCTGATCATTCACCACAAGGGTGGAGGGTCACCAGACAAGAACATCTGTCGGGAGCCAGGATTTAGAGCACATCCCACACACCTGCTCTCCTCTATGAAGTGACTCACTTTCAGCTGATCGAGGGTGCTCATCAGGTAACATGCAAAACTTTCCCAGAAAGTTGTGGAGCAGAGAACAGAACAGAACAGCAGTAGCGGAGCAGACAGATGTTGCTGTCAGAAGCGCTCGGCACAGTTTCCGTTCTCCACTGACACATCTGCCAAACTGCGCTGGAGGAGGTGCTGGAAATGTCCTGCTGTCAGTCATCTTCTCACTAGCGTCCCGTTAATCTGGTCTCCCCCATGCCGTTGCCACTGCCTCACACATATAATTCTGCCGCTAAGCTGGAACAACTAAAAAACCCCAATCTTGTATGATCTCCATTGGCTCCCGGTTGCATACCGCATTAAGTTCAAAATTCTCCTCCTTGCATTTAGATCCCTAAATAACCTAGCACCCTCCTATCTCTGCAACATGCTTGTCCCCTACACCCCAACTCGCTCTTTACAGTCTGCTGACTCTGGCCTTCTTGCTGTCCCTCGGTACCGCCTCTCTTCAATGGGGGGCAGATCATTTAGTCTTATAGCACCCAAACTCTGGAACTCTCTACCACCCTCACTCCGCTCTGCTAATAATATCTCTGAATTCAAATCCTTACTTAAGACTCACTTATTTTCTGAATGTTTTGCTTCTGATCTACCAAACTGACTACTTAATCTGATCCACCACTACTCTGCTCATATATCTCATAGCTCTTGTTTGTGTAATTCCAGTTTGTTATATTTGACCTCATGTATGTTTGTTTATCTTTTTGTTGCATTCCTTGTAAAGTGTCCTTGAGCTCTGGAAAGGCGCTATATACATAAAAATTATTATTATTAAAAAGCGTTCAACATATTCCTTTTGAGAATCGAAATTGTGAGAATTAAAGTTTGCATGAACCGGAAGCTGTGACTGTTTATTTTTTTTCGTATTGTGACGCAGTTCCTAAAGAAACGGAATATTGAATGAGAAAATAGTGGGCGTGTCTTGTTTCTTGTACTGCGAGCAGAGCCAGATTAACATAAGGGCTAGATGGGGCTGAAGCCCCAGGGCCCGTGAGAGGAGGGGCCCTTGATTGGCTGAATAATTAATTTGCGCCATGACGCTGGAAATACTTCTTTCCTTTATTCTTTCACATGTCGATAATGTGAAGTATTCCTTCCAGCTTGCTACAGTCCAAAAACAGTGACGCCTATGGCTAAAGGTTGATTTATACTTCTGCGTCAAACGCCGGCTTATGCTACGGCACTGACGCATAGCCCTTTGCCGTGGCCGTCGGCGTCACTGACGTGCACCTCTTAAAAAATGTAACTACACGTCGCAACAACGCGTAGTGCAAGCTCTGTGATTGGTTGGCTTGGTAGCGCTGACGAGTCTGGGTGGGACCAAGAGCCGCGTGAATGGCGCAAGCGATTGTTTACAAGTGTGGAGTCCTGTGAAGGAGCTTCGTATGGAAAATTTTGTTCTGTGTTTACCTCATGGTTAAAGTTGTTGCACGTCTGCCAGTTCCTGCCTCAAAATGAGCGAGTTTGAGTCACTTGTACATCCAGGTAGAGTTCAGGAAAAGCAAAACAGCAGCGAAGAAACTCGACACAGAGGAACATTTACACCTCACTGCCAACTAGCCTTTTTAAAGTGTTAATGCAGACCAACAGAGACAGCGCGCTGAAGTGCACAGCTACGCGTGTTGCCTGCGCCGTGAGCCGGTCACTTTTTCGCAGAAGTATAACCAGGCTTCAGAGTGGCTATAGCTTAATCACAGTTTAAAATAGCCCTATTTAGTCCCCAATAAGGGTGAACAGAACAGATGTCCTCTTTTTCCCCAGAAAAGTCTCTTATTTCAGCTCCAGCATGAGAACAGTCCAGTCAAAGGTATGCTAACTAAGTGTATCATAAAACAAAAATAAAAATCAAAGAGTTTCCGTTATTAACGTGAAGTCAATGAGCTCAGGATAGGTGGAATAATACAGAATGAACTCCTAACTGAAGTGCTGTTGTCACAACCAGCGATCACTCCCCAGAGGATCGCTGGTTCTCACACGAACTCAGGACTTCATTTCCGCATTCCCCAGGACTACACATTCATACATGCATTGCTCCCAAACACGCACGCCTGCTCACTCATGTATCCTGATTGCAAACACCAGCTGAGCCTTTTTCACAGACTGATTACATCCCATTCATAAGCCACTCTCTCACGCCACCAGGTGGCCGAGTCTTGTTCTCCTA